ATTACATTACCTCTTGCTTGGTTTTCCTTGGTTGCTTACTTGTAATATAGGTTAATATTTACGTTGTATTATAACATTGTGTATATATTTATTTTTTTATTCTTTTGTGAAGCAGTCTTAAATAAATAAAGTACAGTTGAAAGTCTGTCTTTTATTTAAAGCAAAGGTATAAGTAAATCTGTTTGCACACCGAGAATCCTTTTTGGCAGGTAAGGTGACGTTGTCCATTGCTGCACAACCGACAACCACACACACAGACCGCCTGGACATTCCGTTTCTTCACCGGGTTATCCTAGCTTCTATAATCTATCTATTATACCGCTGAGAGAATAAAGTGGTGTTCTTACACTGAACTGGCGCCCGAGACCGTACTGTAATAAAAAGTTCAAAGTATCGTTGCTATACTGAAGGGTGCCAAAGTGATACGTAACACAAAAATACCATTTTGTATGTCACACAGTGATGAAAATGAAATACCAACATCTAACGAACCGAAAAGTAAACTTTAAAAAAATTTCTAACTTTCTTATTAAGTATGTCTGCCTGTAAATATAATCTAACCTAAGTTTCCTATTAAACAGTGTCGCTAGATGAGAATGCTCTCCCCTGTTACTGATATTGTCAGCTTTAGATATATTATGGAATATTTCTATATGAGCGTATTAGTTTCCTTTTAATGGATTATTTAACTTCGCTTACTTTCAAAAACAAAACATTTGAAAAACTTAGCAAGTTATGATTTCAATAGCAAACATTTGGTAAATTTTTCTGTCGTATTACCAATCATTAAATTATTTCAGCGCCCAGCAGATAAACAATTACGAATACCATAATCTTTTTCCAACTATAAATATGGCATGAAGTAAAATACAAGTTTTTTATTTTATTTGAACATATTACAGAATACAGTTATGTGGATGAAATAATAAAAATAAACATCTCTTGTTATAATCGCTTTTTACTGTGCCAAACATTTTTCAACAGGTTGTTCTAAAACAAAACTAATTTATGGAAATCTTAAAGACAAATTTTTATGCAATTTTGCAGATTTGGATAAAATATATGAAGAGTAAGTTGCAAATATTTTTTTCCTTTTTATTTAATTATCGTATAAAAGATTTGAAAGGGCGTATACAGTGAACGTCGAAAATTATTTGTCATTCTACGTTTTCAATAACTTTATTCTAATGATAACAATTAAAAAAAATAATTGACGAAACACTTTTCTTATGTTAGAGATTTTCTGAAATGTAATTTAATTATTGAAACATTATTTTAATTTTGTCACCAACTTAGTGTTACAGTTGTCCCTAAAATATTATTTCGTACAGGGTTAAAATATCACTAATTACTGAGTCAGTTTTCAAATAAAAATAAACTGGTAACCTGATAATCCAGAAAATGAAGATAAAATAAGATAAGCATTCTTTGTTACCATGTAGTTCACTTCATTTTATATAGTAGCATAAAATTTATCTGATACAATTACTAAACGATTAATAATAATAGTAATAGTAATAATAATTCGGGGAGCGCGAACTGCAGAATCTTTTAGAGTTATCGTGAAGTACATGAAGGTATTGGTGGGGAATTTTTGGGTTGAACAAATGTTGAAGTTGAAGATGCGCAACTCGCAGACTGAAAGAGCCTACGACATCTGCGGGAAACACCTCTACATACCTGGTTGTAACAACATCACATATAGCATATCGAACAAATAAAAGATTCTCACCCAGGTAAGTACAAGCATTTACTCCGAAAGATTTGTCCATCTGAATGTTCGAGAAAGAGGTGTCTGCGACTAATATTCGTGTCGCTTCGATTCTGCTCTCCTTTGGAACAGTGAAATGGAAGGCTGATGGGTTGCTCCAATTAGACCTATCTGTGAGATGAAGCAAACTCACAGAAGCATTCATTCTAGATGGTTTGTTTCTAATATGTACCTCTTACATCAACAGAGTGGGGGGCTTGGACACTTAAATCTGGAGTATACGCATGGAAGTAATATATAAGATTCTCAGGAGCTTTGATGCTCTCGCAAAACATGATGAAACTGCATGAGTGAGCAAAGGTTTATTCAAGGTAACAAAAAGAGCCATAGATGAACTTGGTTTTGTATTTGACAACAGGCAAGGAGGGCAGCAGTGTATTTATGTGGATTCGGGAACTGAGCTTAGGTCGAATCTCATAAAAACCCAATTCAGAGCTGCCAAACAAGGTAATCTGTTCCTGCAGGATGTCGATAAACCTCTGTAAGGTATTTTTTGCAATAACAGAGAGACGTTAGGTTTATAGGCAAGTCGGAGAGCATTATGGCCAATCCATACGATGTCTTCAACACCTCTACTGCTCTACTGCCTCTACATCCGTCATGTTGTTGATGGATATAGAGGTTCCTGATATTAGCTGCAAAATCTGACATCAGGTACATCCACCGATATAGCGAGGTATTACAAGTGCTTTATTATCATGTGTGGCACTCGTACAAGGTAGAGCAGATACCAATGCTGCCTTATATCTCGAAGATTCTGAGTCCATTTTATAAACAAAATGCATTTTAAATCTAGCAAAATCAAAAAAATTAATGACCAATGAGTGGAAAGTATTGCTCCACCCTTTTTCAATTCTATAAATATTACTTTTTTCTGGTGGCGTGGAACAACGTTTAAATTAATGTCATCCATTGTGTTATATACTATCTATGTATACATATATTATAACACAATAGAGGTTTTTGTTTATTTAAATTGGCACATTTTATTTATCAATTGAATCAGTTTATATGAATAGTAAATGAGAAGTAAAACAAATTAAATGATTCTGACCAGAAGTCAATAAGCTAATTTGCGAATATTTAATAAATTGAAATTGAAATTGATGTTTCAGGGGTTTTATATATATATATATATATATATATATATATATATATATATATATATATATATATATATATATATATATATATATATATATATATATATATATATATATATATATATATATATATATATATATATATATATATATATATAATATACATATATTTATTATGAATATTGACAAATATTAAATGTCTAAAAATTCATATATTATTGTTCGCCAACTATTATTTATTTTTTAGTGTGAATGTTTAATTCCATCTAAAGCAGATAAATCAAATATGATTTTCAGAAAATTATTATAAAAGTTTAATTACTAAAAAAACAATTCAAACTAGTTTGTTATAATATTTATCCTTACATCAAAGACCATGACACTAATAAATGTGTATCTTTAATACACTTTGGATTAATTTCAGAAAAAAATTTTCACATGATTTAAAAGTTAGTTTTAAATGAGAGTCAAATCTTTCAGATATTCTATATAATGCTAAAGACAAAACCAGCAAATTGAGGAAAAAAGGAGTATATAAATTGACATGTCCAGATTGTAATGCCTTTTATGTAGGTCAAACTGGTCGTTCGTTCGAAATTAGATTAAAGGAACACCTACGTTCCCTTAGACCTTAAGGAACAGATTAAACTTGTTCAAATCATATTTTAAAGTCAGGCCACAATTTTCCAAATTTAAACAATCTTAACCTATTACATGTAAAAGAAAAAGCACTAAATTCACTTTATTTATTTATTTATTTATTTATTTGCATACACTGCTCAACACGTAAACCCATTTCTACAGCAGGAAAATACACAAAACAAAAAATACAATACAGTATAAGTATATAGAAAAGATATTTAAAAAAGAAAAAAACATTGTATAAAAATAACAATAAAACTTTGTATAGAAATAACAATAAAATAATTTCTGACAGTTTAAGACGGAAAAAGAAAAAGAGAAACAAAGACTTAGTTATTATAATATTTTTTAATAAAATTAAGAGTGCAATGAAAAATATCAAACTGCCCACAGTTGTTGTAATTGTTGCACATAGTAAATAGAGGAGAGAATCTAAGAATATTCGAGTGCGAAAATGAGAGGTAAAAAGTTTGTGTTCTCCGAGAATTCACACTAGGCACATGAAAATTTAATTTCCCTAATAATTCTTGGCAGTCAATTTGATTGTGTAAGCTTTTATATAGAAATACTTGAGAAAAATATTCTCGTCTATTTTCAAAAGATGTCATGGAAAACTTAGTCAACAACTCTTGTTGTGGAACACCGATAGGCGGGTATGCTCCTTCAGACTTAAGCCATAATAGTTTTAAGAATCGTCTTTGCACTTTCTCCAAAGAGTCTACGTGATTTCTGTAGTGAGGGTTCCAAACAAGAGACGCATATTCAAGTTTAGACCTAACAAAAGCAAAGTATAAAGTTTTAAGTGTACTGATATTCGAGAAGTATCTGCTAGTTCTAATTAGGAACCCAAGAGTCTTAAGAGATTGAGTCACTAAATTATTTATGTGAAGTATAAATGAAAGTTCGCCATCGAATACTACGCCAAGGTCAGCAAGAGTAGAAGGTCGTTGAAGGACTGCGTTGTCAATACTGTATTTAAACATAACAGCCTCGGATTTAGTTGTGTAGGTCATAACGTTACACAGACACATTCAGATTTAAGTTGTTTTCAACACACCAATTAAATAAGTTTGAAAGTCTGTTTTGCAGAAAAACGCAGTCCTCCAAACAAGAAATTACTTTAAAAAATTTTGACATCATCAGCGTAAAGTAGACAGGACACATCAATAACATTCACAATATCGTTAATGAATATGTTGAACAATAGGGGACCGAGAATTGACCCCTGTGGGACTCCGGATGTAACAATATATTCGACAGACTGGAAACCATTATACGCAACATATTGCCTTCTATCCAAAAGATAAGCATGACAAAATAATAACAGAGACGGTGAAAAACCAAAAACAGAACCATACAATTTTTTTAATTAAACACCACAGATAATACAACCCCCTGTATCTGAAGGTCCTCAATGTACAGACAATAGACACACACCCAATGACCGAGTATGTTAGGATTCATTTCTGGTTTAGAAAAAGTCCTAGCTTCTCGACCGGGGATCGAACCCGGAGCTCTAAGGTGAGAGGCAAATGCCCTTACCGATCGACTACGAAGCCACGAAAATAATCAAACAAACAATAGTCCCAGAAATTACTGACTGAACGACCAGTTGGAATTATATCATACTACTTTTTGATGTTTAAATTGTAACCTTTTTATCCAGTTACAAAAGTTCTCGTATTTGTTAACTTATTACCTCCATACATATTTTTTATAAAATTCCCCACTTGAACATAATAAATAGTCCTCAATATTGTAATAAAATATCACCGACCCTTATTTGTCGACCTAACTTGCATTCATAAATTGAAATTTAAAATGTCCCGTCTTTAAGGTAGGAAATAGTCATAAATAATTTTAGCATAAATGTATTGTAATTGTTTTGTTAATCCATTCACTTCAGAATCGTTTGAAAATAGCGCATTAATTGCCGAAACTACAGTAAGATACAATAAATTAGTGATAAAAAATGAAGTAAAATGTGTCTTTTCTTATATCATCATGTATTCTTTTTTTGTAAATTGCAGATCAAGTATTAAATGTATAACTATCTATAAATAACGAGTTCTATGAACTAGAAACAAAATCACTTAGCAACCCATTATATAAAGTAAAATTGTTGTAAAATTATTCCGGAACAAATTATACACTTTTCTGAATAATTTTTAAAATGTTAGACTTCCGTCAAACGTTTTGTCTAATGAAAAATGGGACAGAACGCCCCTGTTTAAAATTATACCTTCTCTTAAGCGAGTGAGTGTGAATGAATGAGTAATTTTTCTCGAAGCCCCGGCAACCCTAAACTAGTAAACACAAACGGGTGAATTGAAAAGAACAATTCATATCGGAGAAAGGTAGAAGAAACTGCCCCCTAAGCTGCCCTACACCCTCTCCCACATCAGCGACCGTTTCAAAAGCTGAGAAGTCGATTAACGTCACGAGTAGGGAAGAGAAATAGAGCTTAAATTGCTGCACATCTAAGTTCCTTAGGAGAGAATCTTCTAAGGCAGAGTATTTACACCACTGCCCGTATTCGTACCGTACGGGCTAGCGGGGGATCCCATTTGTTTCGTTTCCTTCAAATAATTTCTTTTGAGGGGTATATAATCCTGAAAAACCGTTTTATTAAACACCTAACTGTTATTCCATTTTATGTAATTGATATATGGTTAAAAAATACAATATTTACTATTTAAACAAAACTGTAGCTATTTTTGTTTAAAATCAACAGAACATTTTATTTGTATATAAATAATGTTAACAAATCAGTACTTAGTTTTGAACTTAGGCAAATACTGGGTGCCCGCTATAGACGTGGAAAATTACATTTGTAGGATATAATGCAAGATTTTCTATACAGTTTTATTAAACATAAAATTTACATATAAGTTAATATTTGATAAGTTTTGTTTGATTTTCCACATTTAATGATATATATTTTTTCAACCGTTGACGATAGTATGTCGCAATTATTTTTGATGTTTCCAAAAAAAAAAAGTTTTTTAGTTCAAATAGACAATTTTTTCCTGGACTCATTTAAATCTTTAAATCTTATGTCAACTATTTTTTCTATTAAGAATTTGTTGTGAAGAGAAATCAGTTATCTTGTCTAGCTTCTCAGATGTCGAAAAAAAACTCCATTCAAGATTATTAAGATCAGAAAATCATCTTCTTTTCTAGTTTTTTGGTATTAAATGACTGAAATATTACTTTTATGAATTGTACACATTTTTTACCCCAAAACTTCAATATGGCGGTCATATCAATAAATGGAGCTGACGATCATGTGGTTCTAAAATAATGTAACAGATACAAAAACTTGCTGTGGAAATAAAGTAATAAAATAAAAGTAAGGAGTTTTGGGCGACATGCCAGAGACGGGTTTATACCTAATAATATATTCTTAAAAATATGCGATATAATAATAAAATAAATGGTAATTTCTGATACTGTATTTACACATTAAACTTATTATTGCATGTAAAACTCGTACTGATAAGGGGTCATAGATCACCAAGAAATGCGGACAAGGCCGAATAACCTTGGCATCAACGACTACATGGTTTTTATATTTATCTACCTGATCGTTTTATTAAGACAGATTCTCATTATGTGCCGGTCACGGTCTAGTCACGGACCAAAATGGAGGAAGGTTCTATAATAAAAAAGAATACGGGATTTTGCTGCTTTGTTTATTGTGTGCTTGTTTGTTATTAGAGCGAAAAGGTTACTGAAATACATCAAATCGTTTAGGTTGGTCGCCTTATATTTGATTGATTAAATAGAATTTGATTTTTTTTAAATTTCTTGTTAGACCCTTTTTTTGTTAGTGTCGTTATTTTTACTATACATTCTTATGTATGTGATATGTTAAAATACGATTGCCACGTAGAGTACACCAAACACTAAAACCAAAGAGTCCCTGAGATCGCACATCAACGGTACGGTGAGGGTTCATATCAGACCAATAGTGCTCGTTATGGCTGTTGAAAATTTCTGCACTGCTTCATCTGTCTAAACTACATTTCTAGAGAAGAATGGATCTAGTGTGAATTTAAATGATATCGCAGTTGAATTTAACCAAACTTTTACACATATGAGTAAAAAAACTTGTTGAAAAAATATAAATAAATAAAAACCTCAAAATTGAAAGATCCTCCACGATAAATTATTTAGTTTTGTTGCTCATAGACAGAAACAAAAAAGTTGTTTTATAAAACTTTCGTCTTTTCGCGACCATCATCAATTATGTTATTTTAAATTCGGACCTGTATTTTTTGTTGAATTTTTTTCTAGTATTTGAACCTCAGATTTCAATTTAAATTTTATAGGTTCATTGTTAATAATTATTTGTTATGAAAACTAATAAAGTATCGTTAATTTTTTTCCTTGATAATGGTTTACAGCTACGAAACGTTTAGTAATATAAAAGTTTAAAACAACAGTGAGGTCTGAGATTCAAATGCTACAAAATATGCAATAAAAAATACAGGTCCGTATTTAAAATACTGTACTTAATGAAAGTCGCAAAAAGACGAAACGTTTTATAAAAAAACTTTTTACGCTCAAGATAATCTTAATGGCCAACGGTACTACGAAATCTTACACCAGAAAATTATTGAGGAATTTATGGACAATATACCCTTAATTGAGGCACGAAATCAGTTCCTCCAATAAGATGGTGCGCCACCTCATAATATCAGGACCGTTTCAGAATTATTATATACCAATTTTGGAAACAACTGAATGGAAAGTAACAGACCAGTGAGGTGGTCACCACGATCACCTGACTTAACACCATTGGATTTTTTCTTTTGGGCCCATATTAAAGACAAATTATATAAGAAAACCAGTACTGGCAAATGAAGTCGGAAAAAATTGTATGGACTGTGTAAATTCCATTTTAAATGTTCATATTTATAATTCAGTTCATAGTGTTATGAAGAGGTGTAATTTATGTATCGAACATAACGGACAACAGTTTAAACATTTACTTTAATTTGAATTTTTATTTTGTGATATATTATAAAATTAAATATAAATATAATAATAATAATAATAATAATAAAGGACTTTATTGATAAATATATAGAATTTACAAGTGCACAAGGAAAGAAAAAATAACAAAAAATGATTTATCAAGTGGCGAAGTTCAGTGTATCCACAACTAGTGTAGAGGCTGTTCTTCCACCTAACCAACAAAGATAGATATACTAGATAATTAAATATGAGTACTGACTTAATAAAATAACAAGAGTATATATAATAAATAATAATGTACACAACAATATACTAGCAATTCTGTTATTGAGATTCTAAAATAAACTTCCGCAATTTAAATTTAAAGATTTTTACGTTTTTAATTTTTCTTAAATCTGCAGGTATTACATTATAAATTTTATGAATATTAAAAGAGAATAACTTTTCAAAAAATGTCGTTTTATGGGCAGGGGGTGTAATTAACGATTTTCTTCTAATATTAACGTTGTGAATGTCCGTTCTAAAACGTATTTTATTATATAAGTAAGGTGGACATTTGTTTTGCAAAATTTTGTGATAGAAGACAGAAGCACCAAGAAGACGTCTATTAGCCATGTTTAACCATCCAATGTCTTTTATTCTATGAGAATACCACAAATTAACCTTACGCATGCGTTCTGAACTCTCTGTATTCGTTTAGCTGTTAAGGCATCCAAACATGGTCCATATAAAGAAGCACAATAATTAAATTGTGATAAGACAATAACGTTACATAACAATTTCAGGGTTGCTTTATTTAGTAAATTTTTGCTGTTATATATTTTTCTTAGATTGCCGAATGATCTTTTTATTTATTTATGTATTTTTTAAATCGCAAATCGTTATCAATATAGACCCTAAGATTTTTAGCTTCATGGACTGTATCTAAATGTATATCTTTAATAATTATATCTAAATCAGCTTGATAAGAATTCCTATGATGAGGTTTACCTAGTAACATTGTGGCAGATTTTGATGGATTGATATGTAAAGAGTGATTTTCAGAATTTTTAGTTAGCTTGGCAATGTCTGAGTTTATATTTACATTAGCGTTTACAATATCGGAGGGTTTGAATGACATATATAGCTGAGTATCATCAGCATAACAATGTACTTTACAGTGATCCAAACAAGTATGCAAATTAAGTGTATATACGGCAAAAAGCAACGGATCCAAAACCGACCCTTGCGGAACTCCAGAATTTAAAATTCCTTCTGATGATTTACTATTATTCAATTTCACAATTTGTTTCCTGTCGGTAAGATAATTTTTTAAAGAATTCAATTGTATCACTACTAAAACCTATATAATGTAAAATTGCTAACAATATTTTATGATTAATACAGTCAAACGCTTTAGAGTAATCCAGCAGTATCAAAGCAGTAAGTTCATCTTCAGCTGTAGCTTTAATTATATCATCACAAATAAGTGTTAGGGCAGAAGTACAGCTGTACTGTGACCTAAAACCAGACTGATACTCAGGTAATAAATTATTTTCGGTTAGATAATTATTTATTTGTAGATAAATGGCTTTCT